CAAGTCTACTGGGCACCATAGAACCCACGCATTATAATGGAAACACACCGTAGTTACAATCCCAAAATACCTGTTTGGTTTGTGATGCAGAACATGCCATTGCAAAGTCCATATTTCTTTGATGCCACAGTTAGCGGGACAACTTACTTACAGTTGCTTTCAGCACTGATCACACGGCCTATTCGATCATTGGACCCAGAGCAAAGACGGAGGGTTGATTTTCAGCAGGATGGTGCAGCTGCCCATTGTTCGAGGAGTGCAAGAACTCGGCCTGACAATACATTTCCACAAAATTAGATCGGTAGAGATGGACCTGTGCCTCGAGGTCTTCATATTTGATCCCGTTATATTTTTCTTATGAAATCGACTGAAGTCTGCTGTTTACACTCCCCAGCCGCATTCATTAGACAAACTGAAAGAAAATATCACAACCGCATCACAAAACATCCCTCTTGAAGACGTCGGGAATGTTCAAATGGATCTAACGAAGCGAATCGACAGATTTGTTCAGAGCAGACCACGCGTCTTTGAACACTTACTATAGCCCCTGACGAAAGTTCGTAATTCAGTGACCAAATGATCGACCATGTTTCGTTTCTAATAAATGATTTGATTCCATTCAAACTTGTTCGGTAATCTCTCAAAGGTCAAACAACTCATGTCCTGCTGCCCACTCATTCCTGAATTAAGAAAAGTTGACTACGGATAGTTCTTTTAGTTCTTCTAATAATGTGTTTAACTTTACTACAATAGAAGGAGCTCATTAAACGGAACAGCTAGATTTTTCAGCCTGAATGCGTAAAACGATGATTTGCGGACTTTAGTGTAAACATTTATGCTGTGCTACCGTGAAACAATTGACTGGAAGAGAATTTCTACCATAGCACGCGTGATGTGCTTACTTAGCTTGATAATCTAATGTTCGTCCACCATGTAAACAAAAAGCAACAACAGGCGTTTTTCTCTGCCCCGTGCTGAACTTTTGCTAACACAAGCAACTTCATAATAAGTTCTCAACTTTTCACACATCCAGTTCCTTTTAGGAGTTTTATAAGAGCGAGAACAAACAGTATTACAGAGAACAGGGCCTCCAAAAGCCCCAGTATGGTCGGGGGTGGGTGTCTAGGGTTGCGACTGGTCACTCTCTCCTCGCAACTCACGAAATGTTCCCATACAACCAAGCGTCTCGAAAAGCCTCCGCTGAAGAAGCCCTGCTCACTATCTTCTCGTGGCGGAGGTGTTTCCCCATCAAAGTGAGAGGACGAAAAGCCGATATCCAGAACTACAACCGGGTTGGTGAACCACTGGTAGTTCACCTAGGGGAGTTGGCCGAAAACCCTGATCCCA